AATGATTCTCCTGGGCTTTTGAAGGCCCTTTAACCATGGTTAGTTTTTGACCCTTGGGTTAAGCGGTGAGAGGGGTTAAATGTCTGTGTAAGTGGGGGAGAGATTGATTGAGGCAATGCACAAAGGAAAGAGATAGGAACAGAGAAAAAAAACCAGCTTCTCAAGCGAGACCTTCCTGAGTCGACTCGGAACGAGTTGATTTGTTCTCTACTGGATTCGCTTTCGAAGTCTTCGTCTCCGTTTCTCTCCGCCTGTTTTCATTAAGTCAGCTCATTAATCCGATATCGATTTCTCTTTTGCCGCCTCTCCGCATTTTCTTTCCCTTGCCGGCGTCGAGTCTCTGGTGAGTCTCCTCTTCCTTGTATATTTTTTGTTATCACGGAAAAACATGGATCCTCGACGACGTTTTCAATTTGTTTTTCTTTGCTTTGTCTGTTTCCTGATTTAGCGACCAAGTCTGAGATTTGAATTAATTCTTCAAAAATATCGTATCAGTTTCGATTCGATTGCGCATTAGGCCACAAGCTTACGTTTTCGTAATCAGCTCAATATTAACATGGATCTCGTATTCACATTGGTATTATGTTCACTAATTGGTGTTTTCCAATACGGTACTGGCTCCTTTTACAATTTTCTGCAAGTAATGTTTTGTTGAAGATAAACCAAATGCTTTCCATTACCTAGTTTTAGACGTATTGGTATTGAAATTCGTGATTAGCGAAGTTGTAATCGATTCATTATTAGATTTGGAGATCTATGTTGGACTCATAGTTTTGATTACCAACAATCAAATCAATTCCTCTTTTTGCAGATTGTTATGTTCTTGTCATCTTGCCTATTAACTATGGAAGCTCATCGTGGTGTCTAATTTCATTATCGAGTTCGAGTATTGGTTCCGTTGATGGTCCCTTGTACTGCTTGGAAGAACTCTTTCATTCAACGTCTGGTCTTGGATTTTGTCGCTATCTTCTGCAGCCATCTTCGACTGTTAGTCGCAAAGGCTGTTATTTTTCTGAATTGATCTCCACACTCATGACACGTAAGCTTGACAGTCCTATTCAGACACAAATGTCAGTGGCACTTTTAAAGAGCCCCCTCACCGGGGAATTCCATGAGTTTAACAAGATAGGAATGAAGTCGCCTGTGGGTCGTAGGCGTGTTTTTGTCCAAACCGAGACTGGTTGTCTACTGGGGTTGGAGTTGGATCGTAGTGATAATGCACACACAGTGAAAAGGAAGTTGCAGGTTGCCCTTAATTTCCCCACTGAAGAAAGCTCCTTGACCTTTGGGGATTTGGTGCTTAATAATGATCTTACAGCAATTAGGAATGATTCTCCTCTCCTTCTAACTCGGAACAATTTTCATAGGAGTTCATCGACTCCATGTCTTTCCCCCATGAGGGCTGATCTTCAGCAGCATAGGGACGAGAGCAGTTCTATTGAAATTCTTGGGAACTCGATTTGTTCTTCATTTGTGAGGCAAATGGCAAAGGATATCACAAAAGCATTGAAGAGGGGAATTGATCCAGTTGCTGTCCATAGTGGGCTTGGAGGGGCCTACTACTTTAAGAACAGCCGTGGTGAGAGTGTTGCTATTGTTAAACCAACTGATGAGGAGCCTTTTGCTCCAAATAACCCAAAAGGTTTTGTCGGTAAGGCGCTTGGGCAACCTGGGTTGAAACGTTCGGTTCGGGTTGGGGAAACAGGCTACAGAGAAGTTGCGGCTTATCTCCTTGACAAGGATAATTTTGCAAATGTTCCTCCCACTGCTCTGGTGAAGATTACTCACTCGATCTTTAATGTCAACAATGGAGTGAAGGCAGGCAAGCCTATGGAGAAGATGTTAGTGAGCAAGATTGCTTCCTTGCAGCAATTCATCCCCCATGATTACGATGCTAGCGAGCATGGTACATCCAGCTTTCCTGTTTCAGCCGTGCACCATATTGGGATTCTCGACATCAGAATCTTAAATACAGACAGACACTCAGGGAATCTTTTGGTTAGGAAGCTGGATGGTGTTGGAATGTTTGGCCAGGTGGAACTAGTTCCAATCGATCATGGTCTTTCCTTGCCTGAAACTCTGGAGGACCCTTACTTCGAGTGGATTCATTGGCCACAGGCATCGATCCCATTCTCTGAAGACGAGCTGAAATACATAGCAAATCTGGATCCTTTTGAAGATTGTGAGATGCTGCGAAGGGAGCTTCCAATGGTACGTGAGGCCAGTCTCCGTGTTCTGGTTCTCTGCACGGTTTTCCTCAAGGAAGCTGCTGCTTTTGGTCTATGCTTGGCTGAAATTGGTGAGATGATGACTAGGGAGGTTCGTCCTGGAGACGAGGAGCCTAGTGAGATTGAAGTGGTTTGTCTTGAGGCAAGGAGCTTGATAGGAGAGAAGGAAGCCGAGTCCCCAAGATCAGACTTAGGCGGTGAAGTTGAATTCCAGTTCGATTTAGATTGTGAGGAAGGAATGTGCGATAAACCAGCATTCCCACCCGGATTCACTTTTGGAAACGCTCGTAGCCATTTGTCAAAGGTTGAAGAAACTACAGAGGACGAGGAAGAAGAAGACAAAGGGGACGTAAGAGCTGATGTAGAGAGAATGCCGGCCATTGCAAAGCTTTCAATGTCTCTAAAAAGCACTCTTCTTGGGGAGAAGATCCAGAAGTTTCAGAAACACCCAGGAGTGAGAGCAGAGAGTGCATATGCATCGTCTGGGCAAAGGAGTGCATATGCATCGTCTGGGCAAAGGAGTGCAGACGAACAGATGCCAGCAAGCACAAGCTTTGTAAAGCTGTCGGATATGAGCGAAGAGGAGTGGATGATATTCCTGCAGAAATATCAAGAGCTGCTTTATCCGGCATTTGCAAAGCGCAAGGCGATAACTTTAGGACAAAAGCAGAGGCAGAGGCTGGGGACTTCGTGCCAGTTTTGAGATGTCAAAGACTGAAGAAGAAGATTAAAAGATCTCCCATGTTTTTATTGCTTAGACTCCACTGGTGGAAACACGTGAAGGCGGAGGGATGAGTACTGGCTGTAATAGTGTATATATTCGTTGGTTTCAGCTTTTAGTGTGGAGGAGACTCGACAAGTTTAGTCAGTCATG